TGACTGCCAGACTAATAAATGAGTCTCACATCTCGCCGCGGTGTGGTACATTCACAAGAGTCTGTCTGCTCTGAAGAATAATTATCTAATTTCTCTACAGTCGCAGTGACAGGAGCGCATATGTGTGAAGTTTGCATTCATTATCGCAGCCTGTAAGTTTCCGATGCGGCACACAGACATGCATGTGGTGGAGCTGATCAGGTTATTTACATCTGCTATCTGTCAAAAGGTATAAAAGGGAACTAACAGTATGCGGCTGGTTAAAGTTCAATTTTGTAAACGTGAAGAAAAATGGCTTTGATGATACATCTATGTGTCTGCTGCTGCAGATTAGTTTGTTTGATTGTGAAGCACGAAATGTCAGCATCAGAACAGACACTGATTTACCTGGTAGACTAATAACTGGTCAGCAGCCTCCTACACATTACTGGACATGGTGTCAGACAGAGAGAGTGCACGTGAAAAACAGTGAAAAGAAGAGTAAAGGATATCTACCTAAAAAAAAACTGATGTTGCAGGATTTTAGAGCAGAAACAGAATTAGGGGTCGACTGATTATTGGTTTGGCCAATAAAACTATCAGGTCTGATACGCACAGTTTTTCAGATGTTATTTTTTAAACAGATTTCTAATGGGGCTGCAAGGTAGGTTGGTGGTTAGCACTGTTGCCTCACAGTAAGAAGGTCGCCGGTTTGTGTCCCGGTGGGGATCTTTCTGCATGGAGTTTGCATGTTCTCCCCGTGCAGCGTGGGTTCTCTCTGGGTTCTCTGGGTTCCTCCCACACAGTCCAAAAGCATGTTGATGTTAGTTGGTGATTCTAAATTGTCCGTATGTGTGAATGTAAGTGTGCTTGGTTGTCTGTCTCTAAGTGTAGCCCTGTGATAGACTGGTGACCTGTCCAGGGTGTCTCCTGCCTTCACCCTGAGTCAGCTGGGATAGACTCCAGCCCCCCTAGTGAGGATTAAGGTGTATAGATAATGGATGGATGGATGTATGGATTTCTTTTTTTTTAAAAATATATATATTTTTTGGATTTTGCCTTTATTTAGAGCAGTAGAGAGAGACAGGAAAGGGGGGAGAAGAATGGGGACAGACCTGCAGCAAAGGGTCGTGAGCGGGATTCAAACTCATGACCGCTGCATCGGGGAACTATAGCCCCTGTTCATGGGTCGCCCGCTCAACTAGGTGAGCTATAGGGGGGCCCGGATAGATGGATTTCTACTAAAATAAAACTATTTAAAAGTACACTACTTTGACTCTCCATCTGTAATCACTTGTCACAATCACTTTGTCGTCTCAAGCAGAGTCCAACCTTCACTAATATTTGGTTTTGCATCATGAGGAATGGCCAATCAACACTACAACATAGTGTTATTCTAAACTTTGAGGATTACCTTTATCTTTTTTTTCCCTAAGCAAATCTACACTGTCAGTGATAAATTGCACTCCTTACAGACAGATCTGTCTTTACCAGGCTTTCCTCTTAGCTTAATTAATTAGAAAAGGCTTCTTTCATGTCCCCATTATCTCCCTAATTGAACTTATCAGAGACAAACTAATAGAAAACAACCCTGTAAGCGGCGCCATTAATAAATGTGGTATTACTGAGCTTTGTGTTTTTAGCTCATTTCACACTGCGCTAATGCTCAAATTGAACCACTGACTGATTTTAATTGACCTCGTTGGCATTGTCGACCAGCGAATGTTTTTAATTTAACAATTCAGACAATGTGCTGGGACCATTAACTTCATTTCTACAGTCGGTCTATTAATGGGAGGTGGCTGAGAGGAGAGTGTGTGTGAGTCCAACACAAACGCACACACAACCACTCACTATAGTTTGTACTTCTCTTTTATTTTCTCTCTGATAAAAGGTTCAACTATATTTTTCTTTAATGTATTCTCCAGCAGTTTTTCAGCTTTTTGTGTCGACTGTGAGATTAGTCTGTTTATATGCATAGATGTGTTCTTTCTTTAAGCTTATTTACTTTTGGGACTTTTCTGTGAAGTAATTATTCAGTCAAAGAAGGTTTTGAATAAAATGAAGATAAACAAAATCCCCTCTTTAATACTCTGTGTGCAACTGGGACGACTTGCAGCTACTGTGGTGACGGAGTAAAATAGTTTAAACTGTGCCTGACAAACCAGATTTTATTTCTGTGCTCCTCCATTCTAAGTAATGTTTGTATGAACAAGAAGTTTAGAGGATTTAACCTGTTAATCACAGCCAAACAAGAGTGACATCCTTTAATTCGCTCTGTGAAGCAGAAAAACTCCGGTACATGCATCTACAGTCCAGAGAGGTCTGGTCAGAAATGGTGTTGAGGGAATATTTGCTGTCAAATGTTAGAAGTCAAAAGGAAAAAAGAATTCCTGCAACAGACAGTACAGCCCCCTGGAGCTCTGAACATCGATGTCTGAGATTACAGACAAACTTTATCCACAGATGAACTCAAACAAACTGTAAAACGACCAACTACCTGTGAAAAGTGTGCTTCTGTAAGCGTGTCATGTTCGGTCATATGAGGCTGCCTGACAGTCACTACCCTGTATATCAGTCTGTGTTTCACTGTGAACAGCAGAAGTGAAAGTGAAGGAAGGGACACAAAGGTGGACAGAGAGGGACGCTGGCAGAGACGGAAAGGGAACCAAACCCTGTGAGAGAGGTCAGCGACCATCTACACAGCAGCAGCAGCAGCAAATCTGTAGACTTTATATACTTTTGATCAAGCGAAACAAAAGGCAGCGTTAATGAGAGAAGCAGGCTGTGGGTGAACAAGAAGACTCATTTAAATCAGACGTAGCAAGTATTTCTTGAATTTGAATATCATACCAAAAACGATTCGCTTGATTGCGCTCAGATTTTTTAGCTGCCTTGATGGTTTAATCTCAGTCACGACAGACACTCTGTGACTGACTTATCACCAATTATGTAAATTTGCAAAAACAAAACAAGAGAAAGCGATCGGACACGACGGGAGTAAACTCAGCAAACTAACTGGCAAACACATCTGATCCGTCACAACCACATATCTCAGTTTAACTATGCGATCCAGTCACTTCATGCCTCGTCAAAGTTTAAGTTTTCACTTTTAATTTAAAGCTTGTAGACTATTAACAACATCCTATAAATTGGTGCTCTTGGTTGCGTTTTCCTGCCGGAGTCCATCGAGCCACCGGTCAGATTTTCCATCATTCCAAAACGCAGACTTTAGCTATGAAAGCATATAAAATGTCTGTTATCAGACTGAGAGGGAAAAGTCCAAACTGAAATATAAAACTGGTCAATGTTTGTTTTGCTTTTACTTCCTTATTTTGAAGCGTGGTGTTCCTCCTGGACTCTGGTGGCGACTGGTGTCTCCCTTATGTGGAGGATCAGAGGTTATCTCATGTCATCGACCTACAGTTACCTCTCCACTAGCTGTAACCTCGAGCTGTCTCCAACTTTAACCATACTGTAGTAATCAGATATTTCAGGAAGCAAGAACTGTTTTGGCAGGGACGTCTTGTCACTAACTGTAATCTGGGGTTTTGCAGAGTTTTCCCAGTTTGGGGAGTTGATAGAACCGAGCTATGCAGCACTTCAGAGTTTTCCTCAAACACATTTTTGCTGTCATGAAGGTCATAACCTGACACCGAGGAACACTCGGCCTCCTACACTCGGCTGTGAAGGAGGCAGGATGGTTCATGTCCTGTCGTTAAAAACATGCTGGTCTCATGTCAGAACGGTGCCAGAACCAGTAAAAGATGAATAATTGTGCTGAAAGTTTCTTCCCAGAAAAATGTGGCACATTTCATACAGAGTTTGCTCTCATGCGTTGTGGATCTTTATTCTGATCTGATGCACAAGAATTAGTGGGAGGTTGCACTGCTGTGACTGTAGCTGTGATTTTAAACCCGATTCTGGGGATGCCAATATTGATTTTGATGCTGAATGTGACAGTGCAACACGACCACTGCTTTCAGAAACCACAGCGTCTTCATTTCTTGTGTTTGATGTAAAATATTAATAGGTTTCAGTCAGTAGGAAGTGCTCCAAGCAGCAAGGAGTAAAAGGAAGAAACAGGATGTAGAAGACAAACCAAACCCCTCTGGACACTACCTTTAATGTGCAAAGCAGCTCAAGAAGGTAGTTTAACCCCGGACAAGAAATGAGAAAAACATAGATGGGAGCAAACTTTGTGAATGATGTCGTCTGGTGATGTGTCAGAAGATGAAAAATAAAAAACATCATTATCCTGCTTAAAATCTCCTGAACATTTGAATCACTTGTTTTGCATTTTTTGAAAGCCTAAATGTTCAAACTCTTAATAATAATAATGGATTCATTATGAGACACACTGATTCTAACATCCACTAACATGCATTAATGTTCTCAATGTTCGCCAGTGAAGCCTCCAAGATTTTTATATTTTTAAATGTATTTTTATACAATGACAACAATGTAGATTTATATTTTTAGATTTTATGAAGATTTTAAGTTTTTAAAAAATACATTTTTTAGCCATGAACCCATTTAGTTTCCAAACCTTTTCGTGTGCCTTTGACAAAATTTCTTACTTAATTCTTTTGCTTAATAAAAATAATAAACTATTTGGGAAAATACTTCCTATTAGCATTTATTTCTCCAATGTTTGTCTGTAATAAAGCTGTCTTAGCCTGTTACATTATAGTATGAATATCCTGTTATATGCACCACATTTCACATCCAAGCATTAGCAACAACTGAATGTTGAAAGTTGAATGCTCCTGTGTGCGATTCAAATCATTTGCTTTATTTCATGATATGAATAAAAATAATTTAAGTCATCCTCTAATGGGGTTGTTTCTACTTTTCACCTGCATTTTTCAAACTTTACCAGACACCAAACATTTAGAAACTTCTAGCCTGCCCTAGAAGACATCCATCCATTATTTTTTTAAGCATCCCCCCTCACGCCAAAAACACCCCTACACATGAGGACATATTGAGTGTGACGCTCAGCTTAAAAACAACCAACATTGAAGGGCATTAAATAATTTTATTTTACACCCTCAACCAGGCAAAACCTCTGAGAACATTTGTCTTTCATTTCATGTTGTGCAAGTCAACGAACTGACGACACAACCGATGACGCAGTTCCAAGTGACTCCCACATACTGAATGCATGCGTGCATATACACTCTGGCACATACATGTGGGAAGAGAGTTCAATGTCCTAACAGCAATGAAAACACCACATTATGCATCACCTTGCTCTTTACAAAGACAGCAATGGCACTTTACCTGTGACCGTGAGATGTTCTTTATGTTGTGTAACTTACTTAACAACGTCCCCCGCATACTGAAGGGAACAGGTTTAGTTTCTTTGGTTCTAAGTACACAGTTTGATAAAAAAAAATGAACAACAAAACAGACTATAAAAATGCACATAACAGTTACATCGTTATAAACAGGGTCAATATATTTATTTTAGTTTAGCTTCTAGCTTCAATCAGAATTGCTGAGAATGATGTTGTCTCATTAATTAGCCACCATTTAACTCCATTAGATTAGCCTGCTTTAATGAGGCAAACAAATGAGGTAACTTAAGTCAACAGTGTAATTATATCCACGCAAATGAAAAAAAAAAAAGTATTTATTTTCGAATGATCATCAAACATAAAACCCGCTGCTTTTTAACTAGCGAGAAGCTATTATACTGAATCTGATCCTGTGGGAGTGCAGCCTTACTGTAAGAACTAATGGAAAACTGCTCCTATACACACATTTTTACCTTCAACCCACCAGTAAATAGCTTCACAAGGTACAGAAAAAAAAGCTGAAACAGTCACATAAAGTTATAAAATAAAAAGGGTGGGAGATTTCAATAACAAAATGTAATTCAACAACGATTAGGTCTTTGGTCTCCGTCATCACATTAAGTAGTCAATTAAATTCACTACTCATCTCTGTCATGACAAGTGCATATCTGCAAATCTTAAAGCCACACTGGATGATATGCTGCAGGATGCTTCCACCAACTGTACAGTACATCCTGGTCAGCCTATTTTCATATCTGTCTGCAACCCCATCTCCTAGAAATGACACTTTTTTTGTTTTGCCAAATCTGTTGTGAGAATAATCACAAACTGGTTTATGTTTTAGTGTTCAACTGTTCAATTAATGATTTGTAGTTGGGTGGTCTGGGTTGCTCACGGTAAAATGGCAAACGGTCTGCACCTTTTTTTTTTTAACTACAGCAGTGCTCAAAGCGCTTTACAATGTTTTATTCCCACATACACATTCACACACCACCGCAGCACCACTGGGAGCAGCTTCAGGTTCAGCGTTTTCCCAAAGCATGGAGCAACCTTGCAATTAGTGGACAACCGGCTCTTCCACCTGAGCCACAGGTGTCCAAAGGCTACAAAGCACAGCACTTTGATGCCAAAGACAGTCTTGTGTGTGATGAGGTTTAGAGAATAAAAACACTTTTTTTTGAAGGTAGGGGAAAACATTGTGGTTTCCAGTTATTAAAGTTAACGTCTTAAAGCTTTAAATCTTTGTGAATTCGTTCGGCATCAACGATTTGTGACTGAGCAGATTTGTTGCTTTGAAGCATCACTTCATGAATCTGTGTATCTCACTAATTGGTTAAATGTTAATATACGAACATAATTTCTGGGAGACAAGTTTGCTATACTCGTAATAACCCTGAGATATCCCCCAGTTATGGCAGTGCCGCTTTACATGTACTCATTTTAAAACCAACATAAAAATAATCATCTAACAGTGCAGTGCAGAAAAAATGTACTTGATACAAAAAATACTGCAGACTTAAGATCCAATGAAAAGTCAAAGTTAAAGGCAGAAGAAAATGTCTGTTGACGTCTCATTGAAGATGACACCAGTTGAGCTGAGGTTCAGTGAGCACCTGTGTGCTCATAAACGGATGTGCAGGCGACGTATGTATTCTACTGGAACATTTAAAATCAGTCATTTTAAGTGTCAAACCTCAGCATGTCCAGTTCCACATACAATTAAGAAACTTGCCTGCTTTAAGATAAAAGAAACAGTGTCTCAGCTGGTTGGATAAGAAATCCTGTATTGGTTTAATCAGTGGAAGAAAACAAACGCAGGCATGAAAGTAAAGCAAAGCTGCAGCGTGTGATTGTGTGATGCAACTGAACAGTCTGACTTTATGTCACAGTAGACATCAGTAGCAAAAGTGGTTGTATTGGCTTCTGTGTTTATCCCTGAGACTGTCTGAGGCACAATGCAGCTAAAAGCACTTCCACTCATCCATTAGGAGGCCGTATTTCAACACAGTAATTAATAATTAATCAAACAGTGGACACTGAGGAGAAAAAAGAACACTTGGATATCAAACTCTAAATAGCCTGGTGCTGAACACTGTGAACACACTGGAAGTGTCGGCTCGAGTCCACTCTGGTGCTTGTTGTTTCCATCAGTCGAACTCCGGCATACACATAAACCATTTGGCCACGCGGCCCTGACTCTTAGCCTGTCTCTCCTGTACGTTTGAACTCAGCAGTCCGTCCATGTAGTTACCATATTGACTGATGGCGTCTTCAACACGAGTGATGTAGAGCCAGCTGACTATCACCCCGAAGAACTAGAGAAAGAGAGAGAGACAGACTGAAGGTAAACAGGACTGCAGGGAAGGAAGGTCACCGTGGGTGCTTCTCATTAGTCACTTGTGTCATTTGTGTATCAACCTAATATTTCAGCCCTTCAGTGTAAGATATGAGAAAGAGATTAAAGGACTGGATGAGAGGAAAAAGAAACAGAGGAAACGTGTGTTTAGAGGAATTGGAAGTCTTTCCTCTGAGCCCTTAGCTGACGATGCCAGATTTTGATAATGATGCAGCTGAAGTTGTGTTTATACAAATCATGTAATGTTTAAAGGATAATAAGGGTGCATAATGACCACTGCCAGCATGCTGATGTTGTAAGGTCCTTTCACACAGCAAAAGTCACATTTGTGAAATAGCTGCAAATTTGCTAAAAAGCTGTATCTCGTATTAACAGATCCATCAGTTTAAAAAGTTACTGCTCAGTCAGGGAATGCACACATAGGACCGACGGGGTCGCAAACTAGCATCAGCTCCTGCTATATATAAATGTCCTGATACAAATACACATGAAATAAATAAATATGAAGGAAACACCATTATTTACGGGGGCCGGGAAATGCAAAACAAAATGACAAGTGGCGAAACACTTCTACAAGTAAAATCAACCGGAAAGGGAATGTACCAACTCTGGGATTGAACTGGAAGGGGTAACGGAGCAGCCAATAAGAGATGTTGTTGTCATTTCTGGAGTTCAGGGTGACCCAAGATGGACAGCAATAGAGTGATGTTTTTTACCCTGTTTTGTGGCACACACGAGCCGATTAACACGGTTTTGTTTTTCAGTGGTTGGTCTTTAGAACTTTTAAGGTTCATGGACCAGATGGAAGGACCTGATATGCTGCAGCAGTGCATCAGATATTTTAATGACTCGTACGCTGTGATCGTAGACATGATGTCATGTTTACATGATGTTCACATCAGCCGGAGGTCTCTGAAAAGCAAACTGAATGAAGCCGGGTTGTAACCGCGTTAAATGAACTCCATAAATGACAACATCTCTTATTGGCTGCTCCCTGTTACCACTTCCGGTTCAGTCCCAGAGTTGGTACATTCCCTTTCCGGTTGATTTTACTTGTAAATTTGTTTTGGGAGTTTGTAAGTGTTTCGCCACTCATAAATTTGTTTTGCACTTCCTGGCCACTGTAATTATTTATTTATATTTTGCATCTTAATTTAATCTGTTTTTTAATTCACTATGTAATAATCCAGGTTATAAATACAGAGAAATAAATGTAGCGCACATCAAAATGTACTTTCTACCTCATGCACATTATCAAATTATTAGCAACTTAGATGTCTGGTATAAAATTAGTCATGTAGCATTCAGTTACTAGCAAATATCTCACAGGTTTGACAAAAAAATCATATGAAGGATGGTGTAACGTCATCTCGCACAGCCAGTTTTCAATCACAGAGCAATCACAGGTATCTTGGGTGGTGCAAAGTCTGCAATACAGCGTCAGAGGGAACTTGTTTATGCATAACGTACTTAAAAAAATGAAACTTACGTCATAACCGAAAGGCAAATAACTATGCCAGAACAGTCCTGTTAGACAGCAAGTGTTGTAAACATATTCTGCGTAGATCAGTACCATCATTATCGTAGCAGGTCTGCCTTATTACACGCTGGTTCACTCATTGGAGGAGGAGACGTAAAATAAGCTAAATGAAAAGTACCCATTGTATGAACTAGACGACTGACTGACAGCGTCTGCCATACTCTCCTATAAAAACCCAGTGCTTATTAAAGTCAGGCATAGTCTAGATTCATATTCATATTCACAGCATTTAGTGAAAATTGTGCTTATTACTTCAACGCTGCTGAAGCAGTAGAGTTGTCAGATGGGCCTGAGATGTGAAGCTATTCACATTTTCTCCCATTTAGTCATCTGAGTCACATTACAGGCTGTTGAATATGGATAGATGCTTTTTTTTTTCTTTTTTTCCCCACGGTGCTTCTGATGTGCTCTTGATGAATCCCTGCCAGCTGTGAGAGTTTTGGCAAATACTGTATCAAGTACAGGCTGCTCTGTGAAAATCACAGGTACAAAGGACACAATGCTGCAAGCACACCTGTGAATATCACAAAAAGGTCAGTCTAAAGATGATGCAAGTTACATTGATGGAACACATTCTGGGTTCTCTGCAGCGTTTTGGGGACAAAACAAACAACTTTATCTTCATTTTACCTGAAATCACACCTCCCCTGCCCGTCTTTTCAGCTAATAGTAATCGCTTCGAGTTCACTCTGAGCCTCATAAATATCACACTGCCCGTCAGTGAAACGTGAGCTTCTTTGTGTGTTTTTCAGTGAGCTTGTACGTACCTGAGGCAGCAGGATCCCTAACAGCAGTCCAGCCATGGTCTTGTAGTTGTCCATCAGCCAGATGAAGAACGCGTTGGTGCAGCCTCGGATGTAGATTTCGTCAATTAAATTCAAACGCTGTGAGACACAAAACACTTGTAATCAGTCAGATTTCACAACACTTTTACAGAAATACAAAAGCTTCACATCCTTTGCTGATTATTACTTTAAACATTGTCACCTCTCAGGAAGAGAACTTCCTCTTTGGTAGAACAAGAAATACTGCACGAAAAAATACGAGCCTCAAAGTAGAAACCAGTGCAGCAACGATGAACACACCTGTGATCGCTGACCCACAAGTTAGAAAACCTGTGACACTGAAACCAAATGAAGAACACCTGCGATTTCTAGTTAGCCAAACTGCATGAACATAGTTATAAAATGACCCGTGGACACCAGAACCTTCTGAGTTTTGGACCAATGGGCTGTGTCTGTCTGCAAATCTGCATGATGGCTCCACATAGAAAAAACCTGATCATGAGACTTCGCTAGATGTAAAAATATCCAGCAAGATCATGGACCTGCTAAAAATCCGTTAAAACACAGCTGCAGCAGTAACCAGCAGATATAGAAAGAGCCATAGCACCACTAATCAGAGCTGCAGTGGTTGTCCTCCTAAAACAATGCCACAGAGAATGCGCTACTTGTACAGTTTAGCTCTGAAAAACAGACGGGCAAGTGTTTCAGACTGGGCAAAGGGGTTATCAGTGGAAATCTGAGGAGGACAGTGCATAATGTCAGCTTCTGTGAGTGGCATCTAAAAAAAGAAGAAGAAAAATCTTGCTTGTTTCTCGGCACAAAACTGCAAAATGAAACTTTGGTAAAGAACACGAAAATAAGCCGGATACAAAATAGGAGCACATTCTGGGGTCAGATGAGACCAAAGTAGATTTATGCAGCTCAGATATGGTCCAGCATGTTTGGGGTGAACCTGGACATGACCTCCACAGTGAATGCATAGACCTGACAGTGAAGCACGGAGGTGACCACTGAAATAATGGCTGGCAAGATGACTCCATGCCTGCAGAATCTAGTCAGAAAAAGAATACGAGGTATATCAGAAAAGTTTCAGGGCTGGTGTCACACAAGATATATTTCAAATCCAAACTACAAGTTCTCCCCTTCCAAGTAATCCCCCTGGAGTCTAACACACTCCTCCAGCCTTCTCTGCCACACCGCCATGCACTCCTGGAAGGATGCTTCCAGGATCCTCCTCAGCTCTGTCGTCACAGCCATCTTGATGTCGTCCACGTCTTCAAAGCGGGTCCCCTTGATGACATCCTTGAGCTTGGGGAAGAGGAAAAAATCCCACGGAGCCAGGTGGGGTGAGTAGGGAGGTTGCTTCAGCACGGTGATGTTCTTCTCAGCCAGGAACTGTGGGATGCTCAGGGCATTGTGAGAAGGAGCGTTGTCATGGTGAAGCAGCCACCACTTGTCCTGACACAGCACTTCTTGTGTACTGAAGAAGCAAACGCCACAGGATCTCTTTGTAGACGTGCTGGTTGATCATCTGAAGGGGAATCTCGTAGTTTGTAGTTTGGATTTGAAATATATCTTCTGTGACACCAGTCCTGGAACTTTTCTGACACACCTTGTATTCCAGCATGATAACATACCAAAGCAAACTGCCAAACTCACACAAGGGTTTCTAAAGAAGAAAAAGTGAAAACTATGAGCTGGCCAAGTCTGACTTGAATCCAACAGAATCCAACTGGAGTATTTCAAAGAGGAAGGCAGAGCAACACAAGCCCTCCAGCAGAAAGCAGCAGAAAAAAGATTGTCTCTGAAGAACGGCAGAACATCCTTCTAGAAATCTGGTATCCTTTATGCTGAGAAGGATTCAGTTTGTTGAAATGAAAGGAATAATGACTTTTGTTGCACTGATCTATGGAGCCTGTATTTTTAATATTGTAAATCCAAATAGGCAGTTTTTAATTTTGCATGAGAGCAAACACCCCTCTGTTCAACTTAGAAATAAGACAGTTATTGAAAGGTGGTATTATTATGAATGATTGACATTTAAGTGATATTGCATTGATATTGTACTTGCTTCTGATTCTGTACATCAAGCAGCAACAGAAACTACAGTCACTACTGCTGCATATAAATGGCAGTTTACATTTTTTAGACCGACAAAGCGTATTTCAGCTGGCAGTCAAAGAGCAGAACACTATAAAGCTCAAACAGGCATCTATCTTTCTATAGGTGAGTTACAGGATGCTTTCTGTGCAGTCTTACCTCTTTCTCCAGCACCTTGTACCCACACAGAGTGTTGGCCACTTCATTAGGCTGCAGGGAAGAAAAGCAGAAAGAAGCAGTCAAGTTAAGAGAAATGAAAAGTAAGTGGGAGACTAAAGGTTGCGACCATCTTCTAGTATAAGGAGCTGACAACAATAAAACAAAGGCTACACTGTTGAGACACACACTTCATCTCTCACACACATGCACACACACACACTCAACACAACTGTGCTGAGTGTGTGTGTGTGTGTGTGTGTGTGTGTAAACTACAACATGTTTGTGAGCGTGCTTTGAAGACTGGTAACTCTGAGCCTGTGGTTTTCCATATGAAACTACATCTACACTTTCAAAGAAGCGAAGATAAAAAGCCTGTGAGGCAGGTAGAAGCAATCATCATTTCTACATAAGGTACATTTAATTAACAGATGACCTATGCAGATAATCACAATGTCAGGCCGTCACCACATTTTTCTCATGTTTTTGCAAAGAAATATACCTCAATACAATCATATGCTGAAGAGGAAACAAACAGCTGAGATGACAGAAACCAGGCACCAGTGTGCGGTAATGAGCTTTATGAAATGGGTGAGAAAACCTGTTGGACCTCGATCTGTGAAGAAGTGCTATGAGCTGTCAGCTGGTGTTAACCGCTGCTTTATGTTCATGTCAAAGATTACAAAGTAGAAACTTAACTACTGTGGTCTGATATACGTCTGAGTCACTGGAAGGGTTTAATACATGGATGCAAACCTAAATGTGGACATTTTCTATGATCTAAATATAGATGAGAGCACATGACACATGAGGCAAAATGTACATTAATCTTTCATCTGAATGACATGACTTAAATCTATTTTCCTTTTGATTTAAACAACATTTTTAGGGTTGTTCACTTAGAAAATGCCAAAACTAATGCAATCTATCAATGCTCTTGAGTAACACTAATTGGTTATGTATGTATCATACACTCTCTTATATTTCTAACAGCAGTATGGCGGTCTGCCAATTACGTTACTAGCACCAAGTACTTGCGACATACAAGGAACGAAAATTATATATAAATCTCTACATCAGTGTATCTCATGTTTGTGAGTCAAGTCAAGTCTGTATTGAGAACGTGAGCTGTGTTCTGCTTTGGAGTGGCATCTGTTGCCACCGTGTGTTGCCTCCGACACATGTAGGAGGAGTTTGGTGGGTCTTTTTCAACCAATACCATTTTACACTGGCTGCTCAACAAGGTTCACTCTACTCTTCTATCGCAATCACTGCAACGCCTACAGAGAAAACAGAATTCTAATTATGAGCACACTTCCTGTGGTTGAATGACAATCAGAGGTTTACATCCATTTCTGTCCAGATTTGAACTTTTGGATATAAAATGTCATCAGTTATTTTGTCCTCCTGGAGATTTGTGTGAAATTTTGTCTGAATCTGTGAATGAATACTTGAGTTATGGTCACAGTGACCTTTGACCAACAAACTCTCATCAGGTCATCCTTGAGTCCACATGAATGTTTGTGTCAGATGTAGTGAAACTCCTTCCAGATATTCCTGAGATATCGTGTTCACAGACAGATGTACAGACGAATAGTCAACAAAAAAATCCCTGTGTTTCCAGCCATGTTTCTGTTTTCAGCGAGTAGGAGTGAACATTTTTGTCCCTTAATTAAGTCCACTATCACAAGTGACTCAGAACAATGCAAATTTGTTCAATAAGAAGCTCTGGATGCATAGCTAATAGTCATACTGTGGTCATTAAATTTAATGCTAAACACATCATATGAGTTCAGTTTCATGAGTTCAGGAACTAGAGAGAGTTAGGTCTTGATTATTCTGGCTTGCGATTCGCCCACGGACAGCTGTGGACAGCAGAGATGCGTAATTGTTGTTATTATGCTACCTTTTAGTCCGCTTGAAGTCCACTGGGAGGACTTTGTTTCTTACATGTGCAGTCTGCACAGACACTAATGTTGGGCTGCATGTGGATGTCCATGGAGGTGGACTTTCACGGACTTGGGGAACAAAACTTATGTCACGTGGACACAAGAGGACCCTCGCGAACTTGCAGAAGCATGAGATTGGCCTCGGCTTGTTAATTTCACAACTTACAGCGAACTGTTGTGTGTTTGGGTACAAAGTTTTTGTTTGTTCTTTTTCTCCCCGTAATCACTGAGGAGTTTGTGCTGTTTGGCGTGGGAGCAAATTGCCTGTGTGTGGCATGGCAGAGGCTTAATCACTATTATAACGACGAGGACATGCATTTTGAACGTAACCCTACATATTACAGCTATTACTATAATGACATATTGTACACTCTCATCTGCATGTTTAGAGCTCCACAGATCCGTTATAAATAAATAAAGTCAGGAATTATGAAGTGACTCGTGCAAAAACGTATGATCATTTTGCAGACAATGTTATCGAACTCGGATCTTTAAAACTATTTAACGTAGCATCCATTCAGTTGGCAGGTGTTTACCCAAATACATTCTGATGTTTTCAGCCTTTGACATACACGAAAACTGCATGTTACACTAATTTAGAAAAAATATCTACAGTGATGCAGCAGAGGCAGATATATCGTTAATTTAATTCCACACATTTTTCTTTCTTGTTAAAAACTGTACCTCCCTTACTCACAACTCCATCACCACCAGTTCTGTCATGGTTTTGGGAACGTAGCAGCTAATGCAGCCTCAAGCAGCTAGTGTCGATCAGAGATAAAGAGCAGACTACAGAAGTCTGAAGCTAATTTAACTTCACTCCCCCAGATTTTATTCAAGTTCAAACTTGTGTTCTTTATAGACTATGCCAAAAAAATAAATATTGGCAGCAATAATAAACCTGGTTTGGTTATAATAAGTGAACCCAAACTGTAGTGCAATGAGTCTTTGCAATAGCTGCATATTTGTAATACAGTAATAGTATCCAAAAAGCGGTAATACCAGAATGTGTCGAAACAGCTGGTGATACAGGTTGTCAGTCATAGTGCAACAGTAACAGTACCAGCAGGTAATACCTGTAGCACCAGCTGGTGTCGTATTGATACGGTAAGACGTACCTTCTTAGTAACGCAGCAGGTATACGGCACACCGCAGGCCAGTGGACCAGGTGCAGTGCAGTTGTGGTACATGTTGACTTCCCAGTCTTTATACTCTTGACCTCCACAACACTTAAACTGCCAGAGAGAAGAAAGATGGTAGCAATTAACAGGAGATGGGAACAGCAAAACAAACAAAACCTAACAAAAAAAAAAACACCAGAGAGGGAAGAGATATGTCAGGCAAAAGATAAAAACAACCTGGTAAACAACATCATTTCTGCTGCACTGGCATAAAGCCAGTGACGTTTTGGGATGAAATGAGCCACAATCAGCTGCGATTTGCATGTAATTAGTCTTAAGGCTGTTTTTCAGTGAGTGTGTGTTTCACTTTTTGCCAAAATCAGTGTACGGTGCAGCTGGTGGATAATATATGATGTTATGATATATTATTATTGTCATGATATTATATATTATCCAGACATGTGCTATGACATATGAGGTGTGTCAGAGAAGTTCCAGGACTGGTGTCACAAAAGAGGTATTTCAAACCCAAACTACAAACTACGAGTTTCCCCTTCAGACGATCAACCAGCACGTCTACAAAGAGATCCTGCGGCGTTTGCTTTGTTCAGAGAAGAGGCCAGAGTTGTGGCAGGACAAGTCGTGGCTGCTTCACCATGACAACACGTCTGCTCACAACGCCCTGAGCATCCCACAGTTCCTGGCTGAGAAGAACATCGCCGTGCTGGAGCAACCTCCCTACTCACCCCACCTGGCTCCGTGGATTTTTTTCCTCCTCTGCAAGCTCAAGGGGGTCATCAAGGGGACCTGTTTTGGAGACGTGGACGACATCAAGATGGCTGTGACGACAGAGCTGAGGAGGATCCCGGAAGAATCCTTCCAGGAGTGCATGGCGGCGTGGCAGAGAAGGCTGGGGAAGTGTGTTAGACTCCAGGAGGATTACTTTGAAGGGGAAAACTTGTAGTTTGTGGTTTGGGTTTGAAATATATCTTTTGTGACACCAGTCCTGAACCTTTTCTGACACATCTCATATTCTGTACACCCATTTTCTGTATCACTACAAATATTACCATGATCGGTCCATCACAAACTTTCTGCATGTTTGGCAAGTAATTTAATTCTCATAGTTTTTAATGATGGTGTTGAATCATTAAGGCAGACAAAAGAAACTGGCAGATTATTGAAACTATGCAGTTATGTTTATTATTATATTTATGCAGCTCTACCCAATTTTCTCCCATATCTGTACTCTCAATCTAACAAAGCGAAACATTAAAAAAGCTTTACGTGTCCTCTCCTTCACTCATAAAAACCTTGAAATATAAATGAATCTCCAGTAAGAGGCCTCTGCTACGTCTCCTCCACACTCTGACTGATGTGGTTCCTCCTAAATCAATAAGACTTGCAGCCCCAAACAGCAATTTCCTTCCTGTAACCACCTGTTGGTCCACAGACACAAAACAATGTGACGTCAACCAGTCATTTTTTTATTGCCCTCCCTTTCAGCCTTCAAAGAGTCTAAATAACATCACCTCACAGGGAAAATAAATGAGACTTCTATAAGACTGATTATTAAAGCTTATATGCATCAAATTTTCAATCATCAGCGTCGCTTACTTTTTATTTTACAATCGATTCCTGTTTCTTAAAACACACTACTGTGGCTCTGATGCTGCTGCCTCCCTCTGTCTGTATTATTTATCACTTTATTTAACTTTATTTATTTATATAGTCCTGTCTGTGTTTGACAAGTGAAAATATGCGCATAGATATGACAAATATATGCGACCAAATGGATTTTTTATTTTTTTTTTAAAGTCACTGGCTCAACTGGCGGCACTCAAAATAAATAAGATCGAATGCCTCTATTCAGTAATTTCTACTTGATTTCTACTTTTATTGTGGTAGATGGCGGCCTCAGAGACAAAAACACAGGACTATTAGCTCAGCTTGGATGTCACTTACTGAGACAAATATTTCATTGAGAGGGAGAAAGAGAGCCCGAGACAAGGGGATGAAGAGAGACGATGAATAAATGAATAAAAATGAGGAAACTCTTTGCCAGGCAGTGTGATCAGAATGCTGATATGAAGCCACAGTGCCAAAGCGCTGCTCTCTGTCCTCGTTGGTGGGATTCTGCAGAGCTGCACTGGGTCAGCGTCCAAACAAAGGTCTCAGAGAGGCAAAGAAATTATGATGTGATTAATGCCTGCAACTAGAGTTAAGTGCAGCAGGTGCAATAATGCGATATGACACAATCAAACAGTCGTTTATCTTTGGAAGGATTGATGTTGTGTTCCTTATACGTCCTCATGAGATCAACCTGAAGCATCAATCTTTCACGACGCGCCTCTCGAACCCCTCAGACTATAAAGAGGCTCTGCTGGCAGTGACTTTTAGAGTGATGACTGGATTAAACAACAGTTTTTTGCTGACGATAGATAAATGTGACAGTTTTGTAGTGTATCAATCAAACGGTCTTCTGTCAGATCCTTTCTTCTAAATGCTCTGTTCTAATCTTTTGTGTCTCACTCATCACTGATGGGTGACAGATTATTCAGGATTCAATTCCCAGAAAAAAAAAGAAAGTTCAGTCGGATGTGTCTCCTGGATTGAAACATTTGCAGAATGTGTGACCGATTTCATCACCGTCTGCCCGGCTGACTGATGAGCGGCTGTTTACGGGCAGACTGGGACACTCACTGCGTGGCTAATTGGCCAGCTGAGCTGACTGCTCCAAGTGTGAGACAAACTCACTCCGTCTTGTTTTGCTTCATATAAGCTGTATGTGCTACGAAAAGATGCGATAAACGATTTTGCTGCGGTAGAACCAGTGCAGTGCTGTCTTGTGTGTGTGTGTGAGTCGGAATCACTTCTAAGTGAGGGTTTGTGTGTGAGGCGATTCAACGGCCGTTCAACTTGGTACTTGTGGACCATTGCGGTTAAAAATCCCCCATCTACTTAGAGATGACACATCCAACGCCAATTCCCACATTTACTTCCTGTGCAGCTGCCTCTGTGACATTTTATCTGCCGAGATGAAAATGGCAAATGAAAGCAGAGGCTTCAAGCAGTTCTGCAACGATACAAAAATCCTGACTACGATACCTGACTAAATACACTGATACTTTAATAATACCACAACAACAATTTAAAACGTACGGAACCCTGGAAGGGACATGGAGAAAGAAAAAAACAGAGAGAGGGGAAAAAAAAGCACAGGTATCTCACAAAACTTTCTCAGGATCTCGCAAAAGTCACATCAATCTTATTGGATGTGGATGTTTTGTGTAAACTGTGCCTCTTGCTAAGCACTGCTTGAATGTCTTTATTTTAGGCTGATTTCAAAATAAAACTCAATAAAACTCTCATACAGGTGGGTGTTCTCTATTGTCGTTTCTCCATACTGCCAAAAAGACCCAGAAGTAAACACCTATAGTTTTCTTCTTCTATTGATTTGGTGGTTGGTATCCAACGTTCAGGTACATTACCACCACCCACCGGACTGGAGTTACCTATAGTTTTGCGAGATCCCGAAAAAGCTTTGCGAGATCTTGCAAAAGATACCTCTATTTTTTTCTCCTCTCTGTTTTTTTTTTTTTCCTTTCTCCATGTCCCTTCTGGGGAAAGCCCAGAAGAAGCTTGCCAGGAAGAAACATTTCTAGATAAAATTGAGGGCAAAGACTTAGGTCTTGAGGTCCTCCAATCTCCTACATTCAGAATTTCAGCAATCTACAACTATTACTGTGTTTGTAAAGTTGCTTGTTTTGCACTGAGCAAATAGCCAGTGAGAGAGTCTATAAGGTGGTGTTGGCTCACAGACACAGACAAGTGCAATATATGGAAATTGTTTGAATGGTGGTTGGTGATATTGGACTATATAAACAAAACTGATTTGATATTTTGCATAGCAAGATGCAGAACATCTCTACAATCTTTTGTGTTCCCTTTATGCAACATTAACGTCCTTTGCCAGTTACATGTTTGTTTAAAGAACGAACTGCCCGACTTGAGGTCCGTTAAGAAATAGTAACTCCAGATACAATTTTGTGGCCTGTTGTGCAAAACTTTCAAACTCTGGAACAGTTGGCAAAAAAGTCCATATCCAGCCCTGCACCCACGCACCAGCATTGTTACTGTAGGGTTATTGGTTAGTGATTAGGTTGTTGGGCTGCAAGGTGGCGCAGTTGGTTAGCACTGTTGCCTCGTAGCAAGAAGGTCCCGATGGGCGCACCGGGATCTTTCTGCGTGGAGTTTGCATGTTCTCCCCGTGCAGCGTGGGTTCTCTCCGGGTTCTCCAGCTTCCTCCCACAAGTTCAAAAACATGTTGAGGTTAATTGGTGATTCTAAATTGTCTGTAGGTGTAAATGTGAGTGTGCGTGGTTGTCTGTCTCTAAGTGTCCCCTGCCTTCGCCCTAAGTCGGCTGGGATAGGCTCCAGCCCCCCTGTGACCCTAGTGAGGATTAAGCGGTGTATAGATGATAGATGGATGGATTAGGTTGTTTTTCACGTTGTTTTGCTCAATGTTTCAGACTCATCCACCCTCTGTTGTTGCCATTAAATTGGAAGCATCACCATCTCTCCCATTTCCCAGTCTTACCAGTGAGAGAATGTTTAGACAGATAGATTTACTGCCACCTATCTGTTTAAGATTCAAGCACCAACTCTGTTCACTCTGTCCAGTGGTGCACCAATAAGCACCACTCCCATTGACTGATTACTATGCTCTTTAGTAGACCAATTAACAGCGGTTCTGACCACCAACATCACGAGTCTGCCTCAATTAGCAGGAGGCTGACCAAGCTGAGGGGGGGATGACATCGATGTCGTGGAGTTCATCCTGGAAAAAGGGATTCACCCTGATTAAATCTTCACCAAACTGATATTTTCGTGTGTTTTATTTTTAGCAAAACAATTTTTTTTGTGCATATTTTGCAAAACACTGATATCATTCGAATGGTTTTTGAAAAAAAGCCACAACCATCATCTCCTATAGTAAACAGTTAGTGAAGCTGGTTAACAAAAGAGCTGTTTGGTGAACACAGGACTGTGATTCTTTTAGCAAGTAATAGACTTTTCTCTGTTCCTCCATCCATTTGAACTGCAGGCACAAC